GCCCCCCCAGCCGACAGATCTGTGTCTAGACTGCCATGCTGTGCCGGATCAGTTGATTGTCGGCACAGCATGGCGGCCATGTTTATTTTAATGAAGCGGGGATTGTTTAAATCCCCGCTTCTTTGCCTATGCCGGGTAAACTAGTTTACATGGTTCTGTCGATGGAGCCATGTAGTCTAGACATACCCTAAATGTTGGCTGACCACTTGAGCCAAAAGAGCAAGAATGACACACATTAGATAGTGGAAAAGTTCTACAGGGTATAATTTTGGGACTTGTATAGTATTCCACTGAGGTACAAATGCTTTTTTTTTTTTTTGCCTATGAAAATTTGTCTGTTTTCCCCACAGGAAATCTCAGGAAAATTCTATTACCCTGTATTAGTATTACTTTTGTTTTTCATGAACCTGATAACTTTTGGATATTAGTTTTGCTCAAACTTTTCAATAATCTCATTCAATAATACCACCAGCTCTTTACTTGTAAAGGGAATGGCTCCAGAGGTTCCTCCAGAAATCCACTGCTGTCAGACTGGCAGCTGTTTGTTCTTGTCATCAGCACTTCTGCAGGGAGAAAAATAGGGGCGAGAGGAGATTCAAACAGCAAGCCAGATTAAAAATCAGTAAATGCTTCTCATTAGAGCCTAAAGTGGGTTCACTGTAATTGTTCTTTCTCATGCTAAACATATTCCTGGTCCTAGCAGTTTTACTCTGAACCAATTAGAACTCTACAACCAGAATAAACTACAATGTGTGTCCAGTGTAGCTGCAAATACCAGAACAAGCATTGATTTAACAACAGGTCTAATCACTAACTGAGGTTCCATTTTTCATCTCTGGAAAACAAAGATCATCATTTGAACACTCAAAATAAACCAATATAAATAGTCGATAAGTACCTGTCCTTTTGCTTTGTTATTTCACTTGCTAAAATTGTTGACTTTTGACTGTTTCTTGACCATTATAGGCACTTTGGGTCAAATGCTACTCAGATGAGCATTTCCAGTGATTTCAATGGAGTTGAAATCATGAATACTCATGAATATGGTAAGAAAAAGATGGCACTTAAGACCAAAAGCCACATAAGTCTAGATTGAGATACCTTTAAATATGTTATTTGTTACCTTACTTGCACAATTTTTTTCTCTTCAGAAGGAGATTAAGGAACCATATATTCTCAATTTTTATCCATACAAAATTTTAAAAGTAGGCAGTGATTTGGGTTCCTCACTTGTCAGTGGCTCATCTTACACACACCAATTTGGGCACACAAAAACCACAATCAATCAAAATTATTGGCCACTTTTTGAAAATTAAGGGGCTAAGGATGTTTTCTAAGCTTTTTGCTCTACTTACTTGGGCAGGAACCCTCTCCTCCTGAAAGGGCATAAGCCTTGACTCCCCCATTAGTTACTTCCTTACTGCCAAGGAAACACTTTCTTATCAGGTATGAGTAGAAACTAAAACTCCCTACACTTTCCTCCAGTGAAAAGTGCTGCCTCATGTCTGACAGGATGCAAAGAGCTACATATTCTCCCGCCTGTTCCCACTGCAAGACTTGTGCCACTTTCCTGAAAGTCAGCCCCAGAGCAGGGGCTGAACCTGAGGGGGACCGAGTAAGACCATGAGCAGCAAGGAGGTAGGGAGTCTGCTTTGTCTGCCACAAGAAGGGCCACCAGAAGTAGGTTTGCCAGATGGTTTCAACAAAAATACAGGACACACTTGACCTAACATCACAACCTACATTACTTCTTATTTAGAAAATACCGGTCATTTATACTTTCTCTATTTGTTTCCCAAAAAATAGCTCAAATACTGGACTGTCCAGTTCAAAACCAGACACCTGGCAACCCTAACCAGAAGAGGCACTTGCCCCCTCAGGGGAGGGAGGCTGAAGAAGGAGGTATCTGGGGACACAGAGAGGTCAAAGGCAGGTACAGTCAATTCTGCAGTGATGGCAGTAGTCGACCTGCCTGGAAGCCATCCTAGGGAGGCAGCTAATAAATTGTCTGGGACAGAGAGGGCCCAGTCAGAGAAGGAGATGAAGACTGTAGTGGTCCAGGTCACAGTATGGACCCAGACCGTGAAGACGAAATGTCCAGAGTCTTCTGGACTTAGAGAAGGGCTGGGGAAAGGCAGGCAGAGCTGGGGAAGCTCCCAGGCTGCAGGGCCTGAACCAAGGCCTGAGGGTATTAGGGCTGCAGAGAGGCAGCCAGGGCAGCAGCAGGCAGCAGGTCCACATCCTCTTGCCAATGATGAGTGGCCATTCAGACTGCAGTTTGTCCCTGAGGTAAGGGGCTAGATGATGACTGGCAGTGACACTGAAGACAGGTGGGCATAGGGGTTGGGGGTTCCCTGAGGAGAAGGGCCCCAGAATGTGGGGGCACTGGGGCAGGGCAGTACCCAGGTGGAAGGGTACCACATCTGGGAGGGATGTGGGTCCTAACACAAAATGATGGGGAATATCAGCTAACAGTAGGGGTGACACCAGCTCAAAGGGGGCACGCCAGAGCTGAAGAGCTGATTCCCCTAGTATCCAGCAAGAGGCACCATGTCACAGTCCAATATGAAAAAGACTTTTCATCCCAGGCAGGGTCAGTCCACTGTAAGTTTGGAAATTCAAACTGCTGTTAGAAGAATACATTATTTCATGTTACCTGTATTTTATAGAATCATGGAACTGGAAGGGACTTTTAGAGGTCATCAGGTCCTATCCACCAAACTCCTGACAGGACCAAGCACCATCTAGACCAGTGGTCCCCAACCTTTTTGTGTGGCGGGCACCGCACCGGTGGGTGATGTCATCCTGCTGCGTCACCTGGCCAGCCAGCCCTGTGCCAAGTGCACCTGCGCTGGTGCCAGGCCCCCCCAACGCAGCCATTTCGCCACTCCGGATTGGCCACCCTGCTCCCACATCTTCCCCACCGCACTCCCCAGCAGGTTCTCCCACCGCTGGTGCTTCCTCACGCCCCGTCACAGCGTGCGTTCAGCCCTGCAGCGCATGCGGCCTGTCCTCCCCCTGCCATCCTGCGTCGTGACCCCGACTAGGCGGGCGCACATAAATGCCCCAGCGGGCACCTGGCGCCCGCGGGCACCATGTTGGGGACCACTGATCTAGACCATCCTTGACAGGTTTTTGTCTAACCTACTCTTAGAAATCTCCAATGCTGGAGATTCCACAAGCCTCCCTAGGTAACTTATTCCAGTACTTAACTACCCCAGCAGGAAGTTTTTCATAATGTCCAACCTAAACTTCCCTTCTGTAATTAAACCCTTTGCTTCTTGTCCTGTTATCAGAGGTTAAGGAGATTAATTTTTCTCCCTCTGCCTTGTAACAGCCTTTTAGGTACTTGAAAATGGTTATGTTCCCTCACAGTCTTCTCCTTTCCAGAATAAACAAACCCAGTTCTTTCAATCTTCCCTCATAGATCATGTTTTCTAGACCTTTAATCATTTTTGTTGCTCTTCTCTTTTGTTCGAGAGTGCTGGTGATTTAGATGTTTATTCTTCTGTTGTTGTATGAGGGTTTTTATAGGCAATTCATGTTAATGTTGGCAGCCTTTCAAGTATTTGAAAACTGCTATTATGTCCTCCCTCAGTCTCTGCTTTTCCAAACTAAACATACCCACTTCCTTTTCAGCCTTTGCTCTTACAGCTTGCATTCCATCCCTTTGATCATCTTTGTCACTTGCCTCTGGATCCTTTTCAGTTTCTCTACATCTTTTCTATATCCTGGTCACCAAAAGTGGATACAATACTCCTGCTGAGGCCTAAACAGCACCAAGAGGAACCATACTATCACTTCCCATGACTTGAATGCTATGCCTAAGGCAACCTAAAATTGCATTTGCTTTTAAGTAGCTACTATAAGATAGCTGTCTCCATTTGAAACCACACTTACCACTATTATGTCTAGACTGCCCTCTCTTGCACAAGAGAATATGCAAATGAGGCAAAGCGGTGAATATCACCGTGCCTCATTTGCATACTTAATGAGTCGCCTTTTTGCACAAGAGGCTTTTGAGCAAAAAGGAGCCATCTAAACGGCTCCTTTTTGCATAAAACCCCCCTCTTGAGCAAGAGTTGTTATTTCGGAAAAAAAAGTGAAAGATTGATGCTTTGTTAAAAAAGCAACACATTGATACTTTGTTAAAACTGGTTGTCCATAATGAATCTCTGATAGCCCCTTAAATCAGAATTACTCAGCATATAACATGTTTCTAGATTGAGTATTCAAGATAGTTTGGCCACCTCTAGCAGCTAAACTATTCTCTGCATTGGAATGTCACCTGAAGGGGCACGAGTTGTTGGCTGTGATGAGTGTATGGAGGCTCCCAAACTGCAGAGATTCTTGGCATGTATGCAGAGCTAAAGGGAGTCGAAGTGTGTTTAGAGAGAAGCTTTAGCCTCAGACCTTTTCTGAGCAATGAATTAATCATTTCAGTTTAGGGAATTGTGCAGAGAACACACCTGGCCATGCTAGAAAGAGGAAGTCTGAGAACATCCCAACATCCCTGAGAGATGCTAGTGAGGAAAGCCTTGTCTCTTAGCCTTGCTGTGCTAGCTCAGATTGGGATGGTTTTGCTGCTAAATCCCACCGCTATTCTGCATGAGATGTAAATAAAATTTTAGTATACTTGGATTTTCAGAAAGCCTTTGACAAGGTCCCTCACCAAAGGCTCTTGTGTAAATTACATGGCCATGGGATAAGAGGGAAGATCCTTTCTTGGATTGAGAACTGGTTAAAAGACAGGAAACAAAGGGTAGGAATAAATGGTAAATTTTCAGATTGGAGAGGGGTAACTAGTGGTGTACCCCAAGGGTCAGTCCTGGGACCAATCCTTTTCAACTTATTCATAAATGATCTGGAGAAAGGGGTAAGCAGTGAGGTAGTAAAGTTTGCAGATGATACCAAACTGTTTAGGATAGTCAAGACAGAAGCAGACTGTGAGGGACTCCAAGAAGATCTCACCAAACTGAGTGATTGGGCAACAAAATGGCAAATGAAATTTAATGTGGATAAGTGTAAAGTAATGCACATCGGGAAAAATAACCCCAACTATACGTACAGTATGATGGGGGCTAATTTGGCTACGACAAATCAGTAAAGAGATCTTGGAGTTATCGTGGACAGTTCTCTGAAAACTTCCACACAGAGTGCAGCGGCAGTCAAAAAGGCAAATAGGATGCTAGGAATTATTAGGAAAGGGATAGAAAATAAGACCCAGAATATCTTACTGCCCCTGAATACTGTGTACAGATGTGGTCTCCTCACCTCAAAAAAGATATTTTGGCCTTGAAAAGGGTTCAGAAAAGGGCAACTAAAATGATTAGGGGTTTGGAACGGGAGAGGTTAAAGCAACTGGGACTTTTCAGTTTAGAAAAGAGAAGACTGAGGGGGGATATGATAGAGGTCTATAAAATCATGAGTGGTGTGGAGAGGGCGGATAAAGAAAAGTTATTTATTAGTTCCCTAAATAGAAGAACTAGAGGACACCAAATGAAATTAATGGGGAGCAGGTTTAAACCTAATAAAAGAAAGTTCTTCTTCACACAGCGTGTAG